AAGACATGCACAAACCAGGCTGGATTATATTCATTATTTTTTTCTGACTTTAAAGGAATCATTTTGCAAGGGCAGAAGGCATCAGATAATTATGTAGTGGCTTGACCCGTTTTCTCTGCATTGACATTGGATTTCCTGTTGGTTTCTTATTCGCTGTCCTCATATTACTTGGTCTTCAGAGCAATCACACCCGCATTCTTGATAGGACAGGGAGGTGTGTTATTGTCTGTGCGTTATCTTGGTTTTGTGTTAATAGCGGCTGCGATGCCAAAATTAACCCATATTTTACACTTCCTCATTGTCCTGCCTGGCACACAACTGTCGTTCAGCACACAGAAGGAAGATGTCTAAGCACCCTGGTGTGTCCCATTTAACATCTAGAACTTGCTCGGTGCGCTCCTCTAGTCCCTGGTTCATGCGTGTTTGCCTGCCTTTAAAGACTTCCATAAAAGTTACAAGCACCAGTCAGTAGCTAAGTGCTATTTAAACCCTGTGGCCAAATACCATCTATGTTCTTGGAGGGATATTTTTTTTCTTCAGTGCTTTTTCAAAGGGCTTCCAGAATGATTCCGATAGCAGGCAAACAGGTAATTTAACATTTCCAAGGAAACTTGGATTCTCTGCCACAGTGGATGCCACCGTCCCCAGTAGTCAGCTGGCTGCCATAGACGACAGTTCACTCTGGAAGCAGAGCTGTGCATTCTGCTCAAAGCTAGAAAGCAGGACTCATAATTTACATCAGGGCCTGTTTAAACGCTAGCATTTTGTAGCTTTTCATCAAATTCCTCTCCTCAACCCCCCTTCAAAAACAGATAGAAATTGCACAAAACATCATTTCCATGAATTACACTCTCTCTCCGCCCTAACCCCTCCCCCAGTTGTTTTATAATTTTTCATTAAGTCAAAAACTCTTCACTATCGTTTGAACCCAAATGCCATTTTATGTCGATGGCTGAATCTTTTATCTGTGGCTGTTTTTAAAAGAAACAAGAGACGTAGGATCTCTTCTCATCAAGGAAGAAGGCTGCCCTGAGTTCTATTTTTCAATCACAGACCCCCCCCACAACCCATAGACACCCACGGCCTCCTGTCACCTGACATTCCAACTGCATTAACACAAGACCATGGCCAAGTGCCTAAGAGCATGGCACCTATGGGCCATGAAAACTTTTAATTTCTTTTAAAAATCAGGGGAAAAAAAGAGAATGTAATCCAGCCTGGGCAATGTTTGTCATGAAAGGTCTGCAGTTATAAAATGCACTTTTTAATATTTGCCTTTGAGGAAGAAGCTCTGGAAGCAAAGACACTGGGCGTCCATGGAGACCATAATGTGATAACGCATTCAGGGAAACGGAAAGTCACTTGATTCTACTCCCACAACAGGACGCATGGTCCAAACCGCACAAATGCCATCTGGCCCTCGAAGGCTTCACTGAGACATCCCATAGGAGAAGGTGGAAGGCCAAGAGCTGGCAAGGGTTAGCCTAAAGGGCTGAATTTATGACAAACAGTTCTCAGAATGAACCCACATGCAGTCACAAGGGCCCATTCCTGAGGACAGAGCCCTCTGAACTAATCCTGCCTCACCTCTCAGCACTGTCACATTGGGGATTAACAGAACAAAGTTCCGTTCCAATGCATGATCTTCCGGGGAGACGCTGAAATCAGGCTGCTGTGAAAACACTCCGCCTGCTCCCAGAGTTCCCATGCTGTGTAGCTTCAAAACACCAGGTCCATCAGCCATCAGCCATCATTTGATGGAGAAGTTTTTCCAAGGTTTAGTCCTGTGAGACTCTCACCCTTCCCAGGATACCAGGTGCTGCCCATGGTGCTGGCCCTGAGTCCACCCTGAGATCCACCAAACTAGACCAGCTGCTTTAATGGATTTCAAGCCTTTGCACTTGACGAGAGTCACATCACATGGAAGGCTTCTTCAAAACACCCAGTAGCCCCTATGCAGCTCAGGGGTCTGAGGGGAGGGAATCAATATTTCTGGGGCGGGTGAGGTTGAGGTGTGTTGGCAGGGATCAGCAAGTAGAGCATTTTCTCAGCTCTTCTAGGCCACTGGAGCACTGGGCATCGTCCCCACTACCTCCTGCTTCAACCCTCTGGCTTTGGCCCCTAGGACCCTACACTCTTGCATCTCTCTCCTTTGCCAGCTCTTTTTCCTCCCACCAGCACTTTTTCTAAGTTCCAGTCATCTCCTGGGAAAAGCCACCTCAGCTGCTCAGGGCACAGCCCCTGGATCAGCCACCATCATTATTGAGTCCCTTACAAATGCAGCCTGAGGTCCTAGCCCAACACACTGAACCAGAACTTGCATTTTTAAAAGGTCTCCGGGTGATTTTTGTGTGCTTTAAATGTTAAGAGAAATTATTCTCAAATATACCCCCCCAGCCCACATACCCTAAATCTCAAGGCACCATCCGAATGGCCAGTTAAGTCTCCACATGATCAATGCCCTAGCAATTCCAGGCATCCTCCTCCACTCCCCTTCCCCCGCCCCTCTGTGCCCACTGCAAACCAGCCACCCCTGACCTTTGTTGTTGACAGCACCAGCAGGGTACCAGGGCTCATAAAGCCAAATGAGGACAGTTGTTAGGCAGGCCACAAAAATGAGCACCATGGGCTCAGTGTGGACCAGCATGACCTGAGACACCTGGTTGTCTAATGGACAAGCAGCTGATGACTGCCATTTGGAAATATGGTTTCAATGTTCCAAAACTATGAATTTTTATGTGAGTGCTCTGAATTTTATTGTGGCCAAAAATTCAATTTTAAAAAAATTAAGAAAAAGAAGTGTAGGCTATAATTCCACCTATGCTCAAAATCAAATTCTCTTTGGCTTTCTGTTCCCTTCAGCATCTGTCACTATTAATACTTCTATTTAGCCACCTCTGAGTCCCAGCCCTCCCTTTCTTCTGCCAGCTGACTCAATGCACCAAGGAAGGTGCAGGGGCATTAGGTCATCTCCATCTCCACCTCTGTGAGGTGAAATCTACCTAGCAACTGCCAAATTATTTTAAAATACTGTTCCAGTCATGCATATTACCTTCTATTCCAAACCCTGTAGATACTACACTGATCTCCAGCTGTCAAACTACCCCCCCCATCTCCTCCCTCCCTTAACTGGTCCTGTTTTTGACTATAGCTTTCAAGCCTTGGAAAATGTAGCAGCCGTTGTGGAGATGGAAAGAGATGAACAGCTTTGAGCAGTAAAGTCTGCAGCACAGCCTAACAGGAAATTTCAGTATAGAGCTAATTATTTCTCATCTTGTTCCTATCAAAAGCCTGAACTTCACATATCATATTGCACACCTGAGTTTCCAACTGGCAGCCGGGGGGTCAAATCTGTCATACAAATCTTTTGTTTAGCCTGTGCTGCTTTTGAAAAGGTAGTAATTACACTGTCTAAAAATTGCACATAAAAATCAGAATTCTTGCCTTAAAACAAATACCAATGACAAATCTAGATCAAAACGTCTACATGGTGACTACTGGCTGGAGCCCAATGTATACAGTCTTCATCTAGTCCAGTGATATAACTACAAATGTAGGAGAGGGCTACGGGCAACTTTAGAAATGAATTGAACCAGTAATACTGATGTGATGAAATTCCACAGGTAAGTGGAGGAAAACAAATTTAATGGGTAATACTGTAACCTTTCTATTCCCACTGATGTTAGATTTTTTTTTAGCTTTACTTGGTAACATGCAAGACAAAAAATTTCAGCCAGGTGCATAATTCCAGTTCCAAGCACATAAGTCAGATGAGCTGTCATCAAAATTTATAAATGGGCAAACAGAGTTGCCCTCCTCTGGCAGATCCACCATTGGCACTTCCAGATCCACCCATTCACCACCGGTATCACTAATGACTTTTATGGGCCATCTCTGGATTCTGGTTGGGTTTAGCCAATGGTGGGGCCCAGCTGGACTCCCGGAGGGAGAATGAGGTTAGGGTTCTCATTCCCCATCACTGCAGGTCACTGGTGGCTACGTTCCTCCCTAATGAAGATAGCCTTTTCCTGGGTTCCAGAAGGGGAGATGCAGGTGCTCTCTACCCTGGTCTCTGAGGGTCCCCCTCTACCATTGTGATCCTGACTTCAGTTTTCTCAAATTATTTTAACTTGGGCATGTTTTCCACTTCCTGTGGCAATCTGACTACTCCAGCCTCAATCTAACTGAACATTAGCCAAAAGCATTCAAGAAGAAATATTGCCATGAGAATTATTTTCTAGAATCTGAATATCACTGCTGGAGATTTTGTAGCAATTTTAAGTCTGTCTTCATATTAAGAATTTTAGAAATCACATATTTCTCTATCTTTAAGCTTGAATTAATGTTTATAAACATTTAACCAGAAATATATATTTGCAATATGTATAGCTTTGAAGAGGAAAAAATATTTCTTCTAAAATTATGAATTTTAAACCCTAAAAAATTATCATCTTTATATTACAACACTTCCCTTGGTATCTTGGTTTATCAGTGCCATCTGCTGGGAAGGATGGTATACTTAGGTCTTCTAAATTCCCAAATGTGTCCTTTGGGGGAAGAAATGGAAGGCAAATGCTCTCTTTATTTAAAAATCTGCCGTACTTTTAAATATACAGCTGCTCATTTTCCGCTTCATTGTCAATATATACCCCTAATTAATTACAAAGCACTGAAATTATAAGCCTAAAATTTATAATTTCAAAAAATTAAACTTTTTCTCTACAGATATACATCTCTTGGTTTCTAAAATATTCTTTGTTCTTCTGTTGTTTGCTCTATATTTATATGAAGATTGACATGGCCAGGTGCAGTGGTGCACACCTGTAATTCCAAAAGCTCAGGAGGCTGAGACAAGGGATCCCAAATTCAAGGTCAGCCTCAGCAACTTAGCAAGACCCTGTCTCAAAATAAAACAATAAAAAGGCTGGGGGGTATGGCTCAGGGGTTGATTGCACCTGAGTTCAATCACCAAGACCAAAACAAGTTTGACATGCCTCACATGTCTGGACATTACCCCTTTATTTAGCAACATCTATGATAGTGATATATGTAAAAAGTATGTTTGATATATGTTTAACTATGTCTATTACATATATTTATGTACACTTTTTTTGCAGCAAATGACAAAGTTTTCATTGTGAACTGAGCAAGCAAGTGCAAGACTGCCCATCTTTTTGTGGTTTCCACCTTCCTTGGAGAGCAACTGATGTCAGATACATAAAGGGGACACAACTTAAATTTTATCAATGAAAATTGCAACAAGTATTCTAAATAATATAGAAACATAGACGGTTGCTTAACTGATTTTAATAACATGACATAAAGCCCCTAAACTTGATATAACAGTTATGCAAAATACATAGATGAATACTGTCTTTTTTCAAAAATATAAAATAAATAAGCACGACATGTGAAAATAGGCAAGTTTCCATTAAATAAATGAAAAGTTTAAAAAGAGAAAATTTTCCTTTCCATATCATTTGAAGAAGGGAAATTATCATTTCAAACAATATTCAAGTTTATTAAACAAATAAAAAAAGTATTATAAAATGTTTAACTTTCATCAGCTTCAAGATTTATGTTGCTGCCAAATTTTGCATATAACTGAACTTTCAAATCTGCTAACACCCGCTGAATTGATTCCACTCTGGATTCTAAGGCGTCAATTTCTTCTTGCAAATTTTTCTGGAAAAAAAAAAATAGTTTAAATTAATTCTATTCAGTTGGCTGGTTTCAGAGCATCTGTGTCTGAAATAATATTTGGAAAGAATTTCAGGTCAAGAACTTTCTAAACTTGGACATGCAGCTAAATGACACTGATAATTAGATCTGAGACAAAAGTCTAATTCAGGTCCATACTTATTTAATCACAGAATAAGTCATGATTGTTTCTCAGCTTTGCTAGTCTAAAAACTGAAGCAGCTAAAAGAAAATTAATTCTTAAATTACCATAGCCTAATAAAGAAAGAAGTACATACAAAGACTTCTGTAAACGTGTACCATGAGCTTGCCTGCCTTCTAACACAATCTGTCCCATCAAAACACACAAAATCACCAATAGTTAAGAGTAACAGCCTACAGTCAAAATCTGGCAGTTTTCACTATGAAGCCTCTAGGGCTAAACTTTGGAAGAGAAGAGCAAGACACAGCCATTTTGCCCACAGATGGCATACCCATTAACATGTTGACTTCAGGAGCAAAGACAAACACTTAGTTTTAGCAATGTTATTCTTTTAGAAGTCTAGCCAATGGTTCTCAAAGTGTGGCCCTCTGCCCAGTATTGGGGCAAAAATCACCTGGAATTATTAAAAATACAAATTCTAAGGCCTTACCCCAGGTCTCATGAGTTAGAATTTCTTTGTGTTGGGCTCAACAACATCAATTTTTTACAAATCCGTGGGAGATTCTAATTCTAAAGCCTGCTAAAAGTTTGAAAGCAACTATTACAAGACAAAAACTAGAAATAGCCAGATGCAGTGGCCATGTCCCTAATTTCAGCAACCTGGGAGGCTGCAGCAGGAGGATCAAGAGTTTGAGACCAGCCTAGGCAACTTAGGGAGACCCTCTCAAAATAAAAAAGCCTGGGGTTGTAGCTTAGTGGTACAACATCCCTGGATTTGATTCCCAGTAACACACACACACACACACACACACACACACACACACACAAATAGAAACAAGACATGTACCTATTAAAAAAGAGAAAATTTCCATATCAGAAAATCCAATCAACCAAATAAGACAGAAGATTATTTTTAGATTACAAGTCCATCATATCCCCCTTTCCTCAAAACCCTCTGCTCTAAGATGGGGTGGACAAATGATAGCCCACAGGCCAATCCAGCCCGAAGCTCGTTTCTATAAAGTTTCACTGCAGCACAGTCGTGCAAATTCATTTACCCATCTTATTTTCACAGGTTTATTGGATGTGGCTTTAATGCTTGTTTAGGCATATAAACAAGGAAGATTATCAATTTAAGTAATATTCAAGTTAATAAAGCTAAAGTTGAGGAAATGTTCGAATGCCCTTGGCTTCTCACACGCTAACTCTGTGGCTGTTTCTCATCCATCGACAGCTGAGGGCATGCAAGTTAGTGAGCAACTGCACTTAACGCAGCCTTGTCTCAAGCAGTGCTAAAGAGCCCACACTCTGGCCCAGTCAGTACAGGTCTCTGATCATTTCCTCAAAATAATTTTCTAAATGTAAACAAAGATTTATGTGTAAGAATGCTCACTATGACAATAGTATGACAAAATATCAGAGACAAGTTGATATTAACAAGAGCAGTAAGCTAAATTAATGTCCAACTATTCGGTATTAAAGATGGTAGTAAATAAGTCACAGAAAATGACATAAGTCTGCCTGAGTCCAAGAAGGTTCCCAATGAACATGTGCTAGGTGAGTAACCTTAACCAAAGTGTGGAGCAAAACTACACAGAGAATGAGGAAAAGAACAAGATACATAAGCATGTTCCCTATGGATGGTCACCTCTGGACAGTGGGATTACAGGAAGTTTCTCTTTTGTGCTTTATAATGTGCTGTACTTTCTAAATACTTTCAGTTAGGAGAAAATTCCAGTGTCAGAAGACCACTGTTTACATGTCACTATGAATAAATACTGTAACCTCTCCAAGCCTCTATTTCTCTTCCAAATTGGGATAAAAATGGATCATCATTAAGATTAAGTAAAATTATGCTGGCAAAGCATTGAGAGCCTGCCTGGGATGGTATAACACCCTTAATGTTACTTAACATCCATTATTTTCCTCCACCCAAAATTACATGTTCTTTAAAGTGATATAAGTCCTAATTTAAGAATTAGACCTTGTCACCCAGGGAAAGACTCCCACATACCTTTGCTTCCTCTAACATTTCCTGTGTTTCCTCTTGAGAATGGCTAATGAAAACATCCCCAATTTGATAAGGTATCATTAAACAGTCATCATCTGCAAGCATGATGTCATCACAGGCATCTTCTAAATTTTGGAGTTGTTTCTATAAGTGCAAAAGTGAACAGCAATGAAAATGTCTCAAGATTCCCCAACAGAACTAAAAGCCAGGTTCAATATGGGGACACCAACTTTCTGAGGGGCTCTTTCACAAAGGTATCACCACACAAAAAATAAAACTAAACTCTTACCCTTAGATGACACCTCACCTGGAATCACTGAGGAGCCAACACATCGTCCTCTGGGTGTTTCCAGACTGCTATGAGCACCCTACCCTACGTGGACTGCCGGTATCTGAGATCACTCAACACTTCCACTTTAAACAATTCCCCGCTGGTGAAGCCTGCCTTCTCACAAGAACCAAACAAAAAAACAGGAAACAAATCTACCTTTCTCAGCCTTGCTTGCTGAGATGGGGGCTGGGGGGAATAATAGCTTAATCTCCACCAATGGAATGCACATGAACTGGACATTTTGAGAAAGCTGCAGGAGAAGCTGGGCACAGGCCTCAGGGACATGGGGTTGCTGTAGCAGCAGCTCGGTGCTCCTCCTCACCAAGGAGGCTGCTGGCTCTCGGGTCAGTGGAGAAAAAGCAGTTTCGTCCCTGGTCAAGTTCTCTCAGACACAGTTCTAGACCCAAGGCCCTCACCAATTCTGTTCTCTCACATCCCTTAAAAAAAATGACTTTCTACTTAGGGTAGACTGTGTTGCCGATAACAAAAGCCCACAGAGATATACTTAACTGTGCTCAACTTTTAAAAATAAACAACTTTTTATTTTTCTGAAATAAGACAAATACCTTTTTTACTTCTATTTCTTCCTTTAGTTCTGTGATTCTGCTTGTATTCCGGGCAAATTTGTTTATCTTTTGCTGGTCTTCAAAAGTAACATTGACATCTTCTGCAGCCTGAAAAAAAGTTTTCAATTTTTTGTAGAATTTTAATGAAGAAGTTATAGATTAGCTTATTTTACTAAAATATCAATAAACTATCCTAATGTAGTCCCGAATCATAAAACGTATAGAATATCACAAATGCCTTAGTCTTTGCTCCATGAGCTTAAAATTTGTTCATAAATCTATAAATATTTTAACATTACAGAAAATAATGCCTAACTTGTATACATTCCAAATATAAACAACATTTAGTAAGTCAGAAAAAAGAAACAGCTCATCTTTGGCCAATAGTAGACTTTCCCAAGGCAGAATACTCTGTCATCAAGATAACCCAGGAAGCAAAAAATATCTATGGTCAAATAATGTTAATGCCTCATATTAGATTTTTCCCCCATAGAGTTAAAACGTGTATAAGCATATTGTTAAGATCATAAATATGAGAGTCTCTAGTTTTTAATCAAACTGATATTCAATGGTTATACCCTGTACATAGTAAAAATTATATTATAATGTAAAGCTTGTTTATATATCTTCATAAGACACAGTTCACTATAAAATGATAAAGATTAAATGTTTATAAAATGATAAAAATCCAAAGCTTAATATTTAAAAACTTAGCATATAATGTGATTAAATCTACAAATAAAGAGTGCTTGGATGTCATAAAGCATAAAGTACTAAAGCTAACAGCTGACACTGATTGAGCCCTTACTATACACCAAGAACTTTCTAGGCATTTGATCATCTCTACTAATTCTCCAACCAGTGTTAATAAGGGGGATTGTCACTGCTATTTCACAGGTGGGAAAACTGGCACAGAATTTAAATAACTGGCCCGAAGTCACACAGCCAGAAAATAAAGGAGTCTGATTTTTACCAAGGCAGCCTGGTCCCAAAAGTCCAAGACATGCCTGTGGGCTCTAAGAATTGGAATGCAAAAGTATACGCGTATATTGTGTGCACATGTGTACATGAGTTTCTGCATACTTAGAAGAGGCAGCCGGAAGTTCCTGGATTTCATCAGGTTCTCAAATGGGCTCTATATATTAAGAAATAAAATTAAATACCAGACTCTCCTTAGAGATTCCTTTATAAACAGGTGCTCTTATTATAAAGGACTAACAATGTATGGTATAAAAATAGTTGTTACTGAAGCTACATTATTATATCTATTAGCACATATAGTTTATCATAACTATATAATAAATGCAGCTTCATAAGGATTACCAGTTTTATTGCCAATGAAAGAAGAAAGAAATGAGTTCACAATATCCACACTCCATCCTTTGTCTCTTGTGACCCATGACATAAAACATAAAACTTTTATTCTCCAGTACTTGAAAGTCAACCTGTAGTCTCAAGCAAGACGGCTCAGTGGCCAGAATATAAAGGCAGAAACCAGAATTGAGCCCTCCCTTTTATTAGGCTTTCTTCCCAATAAGCCATTTCACATGCATTAGACCCACCACCAGATTCCAAGCACATCCTAAGAAATCCCTTACATCATGATTATGTAGCTTTCTGAGTGTTCAACCCCACACAGTTTTTATAAAGTGGGAAACATGAAGCTATACTAAAGAAACCACAGGAACACCTATAAGCAGGTGTCTTGGCATTTAAGTAATCCTCGCTATATTAGAACTACTAATTTCCTACGCAGAGAATAGAGAATCCTAGAGCTCCTGCTTGCCTAAAAAGTTTATGCCATTTTAGTTAAATACTGAGCTCCAGAACATTTCATATGTATTTATAGCTGTGTTTGCTATCATGAGGATTTTAAAGGGTAATTCATGTAAAAGTACGTAGGAGAGCTGCCTGACACAAGTAAAGCTAATGGTTTCTGAATATGAATCTAAATCATGATGAATCAGACTCAAATATACGTGTACACATGGGCTTCTGAACACTTAAAAAAGTGAAAGTGCTGCAGAGAACTTGGTTACTGCTCTTTTCAAAACAGACATTTCCTGCTATAGACCCATAAAAAGGCAAGCACCATAAGGCACTTAGACCCTGGTGCACAACTCCTAACAGGGGCTCTCCCACCAGGGTTCAGGGCTGCAACTGGTGTGTCAAAAGGGTATATACCAATGTTACTGTACACTGCCCTGTGGGGTGGTTCACAGCAGGGGTAAGTCACACCTTCAATGGTCAGGGGCAGTGGCTTCTGATTGTACAATGCTATTCTAGAACACTTCTATGTTTCCTGAACCTGCATTTTGGCAGAAAAGGTAATGCTTTTTTTTGGTTCCAGGGACTGAACCCATGGTGCTCAACCACTGAGCCACACCTCCAGCCCATTTTTATTTTTTATTTAGAGACAGGGTTTCACTAACTTGCTGAGGCTGGCTTTGAATTCCTGATCCTCCTGCCTCAGCCTCCCAAGCTGCTGGGATTACAGAAGTGCGCCACTGTGCCTGGCTGAGAGAGAATAATTCTTAATTGGGGCCCAAAACATTGAGAAGTAAATTTACTCCTGAAACTGTATGCAAAGTGGCATGCATATTAATGTGCATCCTTCTTGCAAGCAGTCTTGGTAGCTTTCACAGATTTTCAAAGGGATCCACAATCCCAAAAGGTTAGAACACTTCCTTAAGAGAAACCAAATGTAGTTACTGCCAGTGTTGCGATTTTCTAGTACTCAAAGCAGCACAGAGTGGAGGAAAGTCATAGTGGATGCCAATACACCCAAGCAGGAACTTTAGGTAAATCATTCAATTCTCTTGACACCACCTCAGATTTGTCATCTCTAAAATGAGAAGCTAGTTCTACCTTACAGGGATGATGAAATGAGTACTGAGCACAGGGACTGGGGATGTAGTCACTGTTCAATAAATGATAGCTAAGCACTTTACCTCCTGAACACTATTTAGCCAAACTCACTACAAAGAACAGATGCAGGTATAGAAGGAAATCCTGCTAGGCCTAAGAGAAATATGACTGCTCAGGGTTCAAGGGAAAATTAAAATTCCCCAACCTCTGATTATACTCTTATCTTTAAGAGTTACTATTTTATGGGATTCTAGGAGGAAGTGAACCATGCTCAATCATGCTCTGCACTGAGTTTGAGTAGTGACAGCTGAGACCCCAGAAAGAAAATGGACAGTTTCAGTCGGTTTTTACTTTTTAAAGGTATCTACCAAGACTCTGTATGTGATTTTTGCTTTGTACTTTCAAGCACACAGTCATGAATTTAACAATTATTTAGTAGTATTTCCTATGTGCCAGCCACTGTGACAAGAGAGCTTCAACCCTGCCCTCATTAATACCTGCCAGCTTTCATTTGGTGGGGGGAGGTGGCAAAAGACAAGATGAACAAGATGATGCTCAATGGCAATAACCATGCTGGTGACAATAAATAGTGTAGGGGTGGAAATCTTCACTGTTGGCACTATTTAACCACGTGCTCTGATCTCCCTGATTCTAGCCTTCATCTCGCAAGCCCTTTCCCTCCACAGTTCTCATCAGAGATGGAAAGTTCAGCTTCCTGTGTGACTACTGGCTGCCTCTCCCCCAAGAGTTCACCCCACTGGGAGGACACAGAAATAAGAACTTCTTAATGCCCACACTGTTGCCTACATCATTTAAAATTGAGACTGTGTCATATCACATGCTCAAAAAAATTTATTCAATGAATGAAAGAGGGAAAAGGTTGGTAATCTGTCCAAGGTTCAAATCATTCTTCTACCATTTTCTCAATGTTCTCATAGTCTCTGTACTACCTTCCATATCTGTACAACAGGAATGAACTACAACCAGTGTCTTCCAAGGAATTAAAGGCCATATGACCAGGGAGGATGCAACTTAACAAAACAAAGGGGAAGGGAACCTCAGTTTCATACCTGCCTGAAATCTCCAAGGTCCCAGACCTTACTCTGTTCCTAAATAAAATTTACAAGGGACAGACCACAGGGTGAGCAATGCATCCTGACTCCCAGGTTTAGCTGTCCCTTGATCTTGGGCAAGATAGGATGGCTGGTCACCCAACAGCATGCATAGAAGCTATAGACTATGTGATACTAAACAGCAGGAGAGTAAAAAAATACATTTTAAAAGTAGATTTAAAAGTGGAGTGAAAACAAATCCCATCAGCTAGAGGATTCTCAGAAAGAAACACCTTTCACAGTTAAAAAGATTCTGGAGTAAGAAGGTCTTTAAATCCTAGCTTTTGCCTCCGTTTCCTCTTCTGCCAAATAAGGATAAAAACAGTTATCTCCCAACAAGAACAAGAGTAGTGAACCAAGATAAATAATAAATGAAATGGGCTAAGAACTGTCCTAGCACACAATAAAACATCAATATTTATTAGCTGTTAATTCTTCCCCTCTCCCCGACCCTGATTTCCTTTTTCTTCTATCTAGATATCTGGGAAGCCTTGCTGGTCATAAATCCCAAATGAAAGTTTACTTTGCTTTTGAGTAAAATAGTGTGATGAAATATCACGCTATACCCTATAAGTATATATAATTACCATATACCTTTTTAAGATAAATATTTGGAAAGTGGGCTGTGGGGAAAATAAAATGGCCAAATCTGACATCCAGCTCTGCTTTGGAGCAGCAGGGTCACTGCGGGACTACAGCCTGCTCTTAGTCCAGGTGTCCCTATCCCCTGAGTCGCGAGAGGACCCAGATGACAGATGTGCGGCGCTGGGCCATGATACCCCATCGTCAGCAGACCCTTGGCTTCACCCTGCAGGGCGAAGAGCACCATCAGGCTGCCTACAGTGAAGGACCAGCTCTGCTCTCCAGCTCCCCGGGCTGGGACTGTCCACCGTGCATCCGCCTGCTTTCCCGCTCTTGGGGCTTAGGCAGTCCACAGTGCACCGCCCGCTCTGCTCTCCCGCGCCCCGGGGCTCGGGCCTCGCACCGGACACCGCCCGTTCTGCTCTCCCGCTCACGGGGCTCGGACTGTGCACGTGCACCACCTGCTCCGCTCTCCCGGACCCCGGGGCTCGGACTGTGCACCGGACACCGCTGCCTCTGCTCTCCCGCTCCCGGGCCCCGCGACCTTCCTCCCCGGCCTCCGCTTCCTCACGGTGAACACGGCGCCGGACACCCACCCGCGGCCTGCGGAGGGCCAACGCGAGCACGCGCACACCCCGCCGCAGCCAACGGGCCTCGGGCTTCCCGCACCCAGCGCAAGGCCGCGCCGCGGTCCCCGGGGGGAGGCAGCCCAGGACCACGAAGGTCCCGGCTTATGGCCCAGGTGCCCAGGGCGCCCCGAGGACCAAGCCCGAGCTGCGACCCCCGCCCTAGCCCGCCCAGGCCGCGCCGGCCGCCCGCTGCCCCAGCGCTGCACTCACCGCCTTCTTCATGGTGGCCGCCATCTTGGGGCCGCACCACCCGGCGCGGCGGGGAGGGCGGCTGTGGTGCGCGTCTCCCCGTGCCCGCGCTCACTCTCTCGCTGCGAGCCCGGAGCGCTGCTTGAAATACAACGCAGTCTCCACATTCCTTCCTATAGGATCCCTTACCCACAATTCCTCACAGCTGGGACTCAGGGTGCAGATGAACCCTGGAAGGACTTGGTACATGCCAATTAAAGGGACAGGCAACGCCCTGTGAACCGACAGGAACGGGGGCGTGGCGCTCGGCTGCCGAAACCCGCCGTGGGCAGCAGGGGGCGCGCCGGGCGGGGCCGCCAGGGCCGGGCAGGTTCCTGTTCATCACCTAAAAAGGAGCTTGGCTCGAGGGAAATCCAGAGGGCGCAGAGGAGGTGGCGCTCCTGTAATTTATTCAGCAATACCGGTGAAAAATTCCGGCACACTCACACCAGTGCCTCCGATTCGTAATGGTGTTCTTAGCTCAGCCTAGATGCTTCTGAAGTTCCTCTGCCCAAAGTTCGAGCTTTCAAGACGAGGAACTGCTGCTGGCTCAGCGTTACTACCACCTCCCTCTATAACACTATTGGTGCTGTCTTTTTAGACGTCGGCATCCATTTCGGATGTGTAGACCCTGGAAAGTGCCCTGGAGAGAAGGGTGACCGTGGTCAGAAGCCACCCTAGCCTGGATCTTTGAGAGCAGAGCCGAGGCAAAGGTTTAGATGCGTCTGCTTCGCTATGGAGTGCAGTCGCCGGCAGCAGAAGGAGGGGCAGGCGCACAGCGCACAGGGAAGGCAGCACAGCCAACAGCACCGAGCTGACCTTGGCTTGGGCTCAAGCACAGACAGAGGCTTTGTCTTTGGGGACTGTCCTCTAAGAGACTCTAAGAGAACGTTTTACGCATGACTCAGGAAGGTCTAGTCAGGGAAAATGGGGAAGACTCTCAGTTCCCTCTTCCCATTCAAAGGCTAGACCTTTCCATCTGAGCAGGTTGCTCACCCACAGCTGATCCCATAGCCTCCCTGACCTAAGCAGCCTACAGGGACACCCTGGGTGGAAGTGGAAGGTGTGAGGATCTAAGCGCAAGGCACTGGAATAAGGAACCCTCCCGGGGAAGAGGTGTCTCTGGAGAAGGGTCAGAGAAGTTTCTGGAGAGAAGGGGGAGCTCTAACAGAAAAGCATCTCAGTTCACTGGCGTAGAAAGACAGCTTTAGAGGCAAAGCAAGGTACACATATTGAAGAGAGAGAGAAGCCTTCGGGAGTTCCGGGCTCTTCTTTTAAAGGCATCTTGGTGAGGGGTGGGTGTGGGGAGGTATGTGGGATTGATATCTGCTGGTGATCTCAAGACAGTTTCTGGTGGTCTGGTCAATCTTCTTAGACTGATGTGGGCTTCATTATCCTGGGTAGATACGGCTGTTTCCCTAAATTATAGAATTCTCAAAATATCATTTCTTTTACATAATTTACTGGGGATGGTTAATTCACAGTACTCTGGTAGATTTACACATTTTCCAGGAATTTGGGATAAAGGACCTGGGAAAGATACTGGTGACACAGGCTTGGAAAAGTTTACAGAATTTCTAAATTAAAATCTTCTTTCTTTATCCTTCCTTTATGTCTCCTTTCTACCTATTTCTTATTTCTTCCATCCTATCTCAGAGCAGCTGTTAGTCCAGATGTCCCCATCCTGAGTCGCAAGAGGACCGCAACTGCACGCCCGAAGTTGGCCATGGCCCATGTGCAGCTGTCCACTGCAGGAGCCACTGGAGTATAGCAGGTGGCCAGAGATGGGAGGACAAAGGCAGGTGAAACTGAAAGGATCTAAAGCAACACAACATAAGAATCAACTGATACAGAGGCCCATAAAGCGGATTCAGAAAATCAGCTTATGATGTATGGAAGAGAGATCCACAGATTCCTTTAGGCATTTAAAATTACATGGGGCCAGAGGCTAACATGCTGTGCTACTGAGGAGTACTAAGAAGCCTTTCCATCCGAGGCTGCTTGTCACAATAAGTCCTCAACACCCCTGTCCCTCCTTAACTGTTTCTCCAGCTGAAAAATGGCACCAGAAAGTGCCTGGGTCCTAGGACAGAAGGGCTGAGGGTGGCTTATGTAACAGGGATCACAGTCTCATGTAACAAGTGATATGGGGTAAGGGACGGCTGGGCTGGATCAGTAGCTCAAAAAGTCATGGCTTTCATCAGAAGCTCAGGTTTTGGACTTCCCTCATCATCACAAGATGGCTGGTACTTCTCCAAGGATGGGTCCTCAGAGCATGTGAGAGTGGAGAAAGAAGACAGAAGTTACCTTTCTGCTGTGCCCACTCTCAGTCTCCATTTCCTCCCACTCCCACCATCCCCAGTAGATGGCATTTACCAGAATGTTCCAATCCCCTCCGTACTATGTTTGTCTTATCTTCTCAATTACTGGTCACAGCGATGAGATCAATGAGATCTGGTGGTACCTTAAACAACTGTGATTAATTCCTACAGTAGGAAATATGGCTACTGAAACACAGCTGGGCTTCTGAAAGCAGGGTGGGGCAAAAAGAGACATCAGTTGCTGGGTCGCCCACCAAAGCTGATTTGCACATGCAGGTCTGGCCGTTAGGCGGCAGCTATTCACTGGAGTGCATCTGACAGGAGCTGGGCAGAGTCTAGGCACAGGGTGGTGCCATTCCATCCGGACAGAAGATGAGGGCTAACCCCAGAAGCTGTGTTGCTATCTTGGCTCCCTCTGGAGACCTGCTTCAGAGCGTCTCCTCTGCTTCCCACCCCCCCTTCCCCCACTGCAGCCCTTGGTATGTTTTCAGCTAATCTGTTTCCCAGCAGGGAACCTAGCTCTGCAAGCCCATGGCCAGGGGACTTCAAGTCTCCTGCTTAAAATTCTTTTATTTTCTCTGTGTCTTCTATTCTGTATCATTGGCCTACCAGTCTATTTTAGTGCCAATACCATGCTGTTTTGTTACTATTGCTCTGTAGTATAGTTTAAGGTCTGGTATAGTGATGTCATCTACTTCACTCTTCTTGCTAAGGATTGCTTTAGCTATTCTGGGTCTCTTATTTTTCCAGATGAATTTCATGAGTCCTTTTTCTGTTTCTATGAGTAATGTCATTGGGATTTTTTATTGATATTGCATTCAATCTTTATAATGCTTTTGGTGGTATGGTCATTTTGATAATATTAATTCTGCCTATCCAAGAACAAGATAGGTCTTTCCATATTTCCATCTTCTAAGGTGTTCTTTAATTTTTTTTTCTTTAGCATTCTGTAGTTTCTGTTGTAGAGGTCTTTCACCTCTTTTGTTAGGTTGACTCCCAGTTTTATTTTATTTTTTAGGCTATTGTTAAATATATAGTTCTCCTCATTTCCCTTTCAGAGGATTTGTCACTGATATACAGAAATGCCTTTGATTTATGGGTGTTGATTTTGTATCCTGTTACTTTGCTGAATTCATCTACTAGATCTACAAATTTTCTGGTGGAAGTTTTTGGGGTCTTCTAGATATAGAATCATATTGTTGGCAAATTATTGTTACCTTATATTAGACAAGGGCGCCAAAAATACATTGGAGAAAAGATAGCCTCTTCAACAAATGGTGCTGGGAAAACTGGAAATCCATATGCAACAAAATGAAATTAAACCCCTATCTCTCACCATGCACACAACTCAACTCACAGTGGATCAAGGACCTAGGAATTAAATAAGAGACCCTGCATCTAATAGAAGAAAAAGTAGGCCCAAATTTCCATCATATCAGATTAGGCCCCTACTGCCTTAATAAGACTCCTATAGCACAAGAATTAAAATCAAGAAATAATCCTTTCATTTTCTGATATTGAGCATTTCCAACTTTTGCTCTGGTTCTTTCTCCAGCTGGAAGCTGTCCCTAGCTGTTGGGGCCAGCCTGAGGGAGAAGGGAGAAGCAGAGCATGGAGATCTACAGGTGAGGGAGTAGAATCACTAGTGACCACTTGTAAACACTGTCCCCCTGAGGGTGACTGAAGATGTTCCCTTCTGTCTGGCCACCCACTGACTGGTTCCAAGATATGCCTTATGTTACCTTCTTGGTATTTTTCTTTAATTTTACCAATCATTGAAAGTTGGTCAAATTCGCTCAACAATATCAGATTTTTAGTTTTGCTTGAGCTTGTAAAAATCAGAGGTCTGGTGACACTGCCTGCCTGCCTGCATGGTGGCAGCTACTAGTGTGCCCCAGCATGGCCAATTTAGCTAGTGTTCCCTCCCCGGGACCCCGTGGAGCCCCACTCACAGCATAGGTATATGAACTTGTAACCCCCAGGCTTCTGTTCTAACACACTTACCTCAGGGGAGGGGGTGGGTGAATTTATTTATTTATTTATGCTGAATGCAACTGCAAATAAATCAGTCATGGCTCTTGGCATCATGGAGCCTAGGATTGACACATTAAAACCACAGATCACAGCCCCTGAAGCTACACCCCTGGGACCAAAATTGGGAGGAAGAGTTCATATCTGGCTGCAGAGGTCAACAAAGACTCTGGATTTGGTGGCTGTTGACTGGGCCAAGAAGGACAGGTGCCAGGCACTGGGATTGCTGCAGCGAAAACAATAGACAGAATTCCCTGTGCTCACAGCTTGCATTCCAGTGCTAGGGACAGACTATAACCCAAATAGGCGAGAGAATTATACAGTATTCAGAAAGTGTTCTTAGTACAAATGTGACTCAGCACTCCAACAAGGACACATAAGATGATAATGAATGCCTAGGTGACTAACAGCATGAGAACTGTAGGAGGAAGACAGAAGGACAGAAGCGATCAATACACTGACTGGAAAGTTGAGAAGAAAAACCAAAACCTGCTGGAATTGATGAGTGAGCTACAAAATTGTGCAGATACATCCTAGCATAATTCATATTCCATCACAAAGTGACAGTGAATCATCACGTCATTCCATATCCGTGTGTGGGCAGCGGGCACTTCCAATCTGCAGCCTCTACTTGGGCTCCTGGTTCTAAGACTTGCAGGGGAAATTTGAGAAGATGCTTCATGCCCAATGAGGGGCAGGGAAGGGCAAACCCCCACTGTCAGGAAGTAATTCTCTTCAGTGCCTGAAGGGGGCACCCAAGGTTCATGGCAATGATGAATTCCTCTT